GAAAGACTATGACTATGAGATCTTGTATCACTTGGGCAAGGCCAATGTGGTGGCCGGCACCTTGAACCGGAGGACGGCGAGTGCCCTGATATGAGATGTGTGCTTGAGGATGACCGTGATGACTCTAGTCTTAGAGATCATCAAGGAAGTGCAGTCGGAGGCCATAAAAGAGGAAAATCGAAAAAGTGAGTGGGTGATCGGTCATATTTTAGTCTTTGATATTAACAGACGAGGACTTTTGACCCTTCATGGGCGGGTCTAGGTACCGTATGGGGGTGGGGACGATGGATTTTGATGACGGAGGCCCACAAATCGAGATTTTCCATCCACCTAGGGGCTACCAAGATGTATCTCGAACTGAAGCACAATTCATGGTGTCCATGTTTGAAGAGAGATCTGGCATGGTTTGTAGAGCGATGTTTGACCTGCCAGAAGGTCAAGGCTGAGCACCATCGCCCTCATGGAAAGTTGCAGCCTCTAGAGGTTCCCTTATGGAAGTGGGAACAAATCACCATGGACTTTATTACAAAGTTGCCGAGGACTGCAAGGGGTATTGACACTATTTGGGTGATAGTGGATCGTTTGATGAACAATGCTCACTTCTTAATTATTAGTGAGAACTCTTTTGCAGAAAAGTTGGCCGAGATTTAATTTCGAGAGGTAGTGGTTCGGCATGGGGTGCCAACGTCTATTGTGTCGGACCGGGATGTGCGCTTTACTTCCAGGTTCTGGAAGAGATTTCACGAGGAGTTGGGTACCCGGCTACACTTCAGTACCGCATACCATCCGTAGACGGACGGGCAGAGCGAACGGACTATTTAGACGCTCGAGGATATGTTGTGTGCCTGTGTCATTTATTTTGGTGGGAATCGGGACTCCTATCTTCCGTTGGCTAAGTTTTCTTATAACCACAACCATCATGCCAGTATCGGTATGCCCCCATTCGAGCTCCTATATGGAAGGAGATGTCAGACTCCTATTTGTTGGGACGAGGTGGGGCAGAGAGGGTCATGGGGAGCATGGAGGTAGTGTTCAAGACGATTGAGCTTATAGAATAGGTTAGACAGAGATTGTTGATAGCTCAGAGCTGCCAGAAGAGTTATGTGGATCGGCGACGCTCTGAGCTAGAGTTTTAGTTGGGGGATTTAGTGCTTCTGAAGGTGTCTCCCTGGAAGGGTGTTATCCGTTTCAGGAAGCATGGCAAGTTGGGCCCCATGTTCATTGGCCCTTTCCGAGTTTTGACCCGTGTGGGCAAGGTGGCTTACCGGTTGGAGCTACCGGAGGAGTTGATACAGATTCATGATACTTTCCATGTTTCCCAGCTGAGAAAGTGTATGGCTGACGAGACAGTTGTGGTCCCTTTGAAGGACATTCAGATCAATGATCGTCTGAACTACGTTGAGAAGTCGGTGGCAATTATAAACCGGAAAATGAAGACCTTGAGGAACAAGGTAGTGAACTTGGTCAAAGTTCAGTGGAACACCAGAGAGGTTCGGAGTGGACGTGGGAACCCGAGTCCGAAATGCGTGAGCAATATCCTGAACTGCTTCCTGAAGAATACTTCGAGGGCGACGTCTAATTCTAGTGGGTGAGAATTGTAACATCTTAATATCAGGTATTTTTATTATTTCTTGTATCTTTTTCAAAGTTGCACAATTGGTCCCTTGAAGAAAAAGGCTTGCATTGTTCTCGTACACTGGGCGTACTTAAGAGTACACGCAACATACTCATGCAACTTAGGATCGCGGATGATCAGCTAGTACACTGGGCGTACGTGTGGTATGACAGGCGTACTAGCCAAGAGTTCAAACCCTAATTTTTAAGGGTTGCTCCCTATTTAAAGAACATGATGTCCCCATTTGATCATCCTTATCAGCCACCATACCCTCCCTAAGCCCTAATTCTGAGTTTGAGTTGCTTGTGTGAGTTTTTGCAACCTTTTTTAGTGGTCTTGGTGCTTTTAGTTGAAGAAGGAGACTAGAGAAGAAGGAGTGGGTGCTAGTAAGCTTGTAGATCCAGAAACCTTTCCTCTTTGTGCATCATTTTCAGGTATAAAGTCTATATCTTGATAAGCTTCCACTAGATCTTCATTGTTGAAGTTTTATGAACTTTTGTCCCCAAGATTGGACCTTTATGAGTTTGGAGCACTCCAGGGAATTGTAGTTGTCCTTTCATGCATTTTAGGACCTATAGATTCATAAAGATGGTTGCTTGATCATTCCTTTTGGCTCATGCATGAGTAAAGTAGCTTAGAGTATGTTAGAAATTAAAGATTTTTGCATTGGTTCCTTCCTAGCCATGCAAAGGCTTAAAGCCAACAACTTTATGGGTTAAGACATCTTAGAATAGTCAGATCTGAGGTTGGGTTAGTTGTCTTAAGGAATTAAGACATAAAGTTGAAGTAGAAGTAGACAGAGTACGTCAGGTGTACTCCTGGCTACGCCCCGCGTAGCCGGTTGTGCCCCCGATAGGGTCTGATTGCGTTGCACACCCCGCGTAAAGAAATGTACGGCCAGTGTACGCGCTGGGGCATTTGACTTCGTTGACTTTTGACCTTTGGTTAAGATTTATGGTTTTGGACCTTAAGAAGGGCAAAATAGTCTTTTTGCCCTTGGAGGATTTAGTTATGGGATTTTGGACTCGGTAGTTAAGTTTTAGACCTTAATTATTAATTAGGGTTAATTATTTTGTTGATTAGGCGGAGTCTAGGTCCGGCAGTTCAGGTGTGAGATTTACTTGTCATCAGTATCAAGTGAGTTTCCTCACTTATTCTTACATGTGTGGTAGAATAGTTGTATCGGTGATGACCAGCAGGGTCTAGCTGTTATTACTGTGTTATGTTGTTACTTAGACTGCTGATAGTCTCCACGGTTGCTGATAACCCACAGGACGTGCTGGTAGCCCACTGAGACTGCTGATAGTCTTAAGGGTTCCTGATAACCCACAGGACGTGCTATTAGCCCACTAGACTGCTGATAATCTCCAAGGTTGCTGATAACCCACAGGGCATGCTTTTAGCCCACTATGGCTGCTGATAGTCCCTAGGGTTGCTAATAACCCATAACTGTTTATTTATGATGTGTTGTACGTGGTGTTTTGGGGAACTCACTAAGCTCCGTGCTTACAGTTGTTGATTTATATATGACAAGTACTTCCGAGGACCACAGTAAGGCGAATGTATGATTGTACACACTTGCTGGGAGATTTACTACTGGGACAATTTATGAACTCTGATATTTGCGATACCGGTTGTTTTGGATAATTGTGTATTTGATAACTTAACTTGTGAAACCTTAATTTTGGTAAATTAAAAATGAAAAATTTTGGGCTAAAATTTGAGGTGTTACACACCAGATGGCCGTTGAAAGCTATATCGAAGACGATACAAGGAGGTGCTTCTGAAAAGGTGGTTTCTTATGAGATGCTTGTCCAGCTGATTCAGAGGAGGTGGTTCAAGGAGGCAGTTCAAGAAGAGGAGGGGCGGAAGGAGCTGGTGGCCGGTAAAAGCGAGATCGACTGATACGGTCGTCGATCGAGACATAGAACCCTCGTAAGATCGATTGAACGGTCTGACACTTGTTTTTCAACTCCGAAAATAGAAATGAGGCGGTCAGATTTCCCCAATCTTACCTCTGGTGCGACAGTATTTGATTCCGGTGGAGACTTCTCCGGATTCGTTATCTATTTTTTGGAGATCGAGAACAAAATATGGTGAAACTATATATGGTAGGCGGTTTAGAGTAGAAGAGGATGTGAATCTGATTCGTAGAAAGCAGAGAAACAACGTTTCGGCGGTGGTCCGACGGTCCAACGGTGGTACGGCGGCTGACGGTCTTCGGCGGTCCGGTAGCCTTGGTGGAGCTATGTCAAGTGGTGTTTGATAAATTAATTAAGTGGGTGGGTGGTTGGACTGGTTGGGGTATTTTTTTTTTCTAAATAATAATATAGTAAAAGTAAATTATCCAATTAATAAAGAATAATTATTTTTTTAAAATGAATGGTTGAGAATTGTCCTCGATGTTCTCGAAAAAAGAAATGTTTTCATTTGATTTGATCATGGTATATATATACCGGCGAATCCAGAATTTTAAAATATTGGAGGCACTCTATGTAAAAATAATAATTTTAGTTGGAAAAAATGCATATTTGTATGTAAATTTTTTTAAACCATAGGGGGCGTGTGCCCACTACAGCCTTCTTAAATCCGCCACTACTTCTGTGTATAAATTTGTCTCGGTTTCACGTATTGTCGGACTTTAAAAAATTATATTGTTATGAAATATGTTTTTTTTTAATATATTGTCATAAAGCTTTTTGGTTTTATATTCATTTTTATAGACAATCAAATCCATAATAATTTAATAAACTATATTTGATAGAACGTAATAATTTAATAAACTACTAGTATATGTTATTTTTCGTTTAGTTAGATATCATAAATATTATTATTGTTATGATCCTTATTTGTAAGGTTTCCGGCTTTCCAGCTTCCGCTACATCGCACCTTAAAAAACTAATTATCAACAAAATTCTTTGTCTATTAAGTTATGGGCCATTTTTTACACCTGTCGTTGCAGCACATGCAAATACAAAGCTGAGTTGAACATTTGCAAGAGACTTGACATTCTTTTGAAAAAAGTCCAGTGTGATGGTCTTAGAGAAAAGAACGACTGGCCAGTTTTATCGAGTTTAGTCAATGTCAATATTATCATGGCGGCCGTCATAACTTCAAATCGAATGTCAAATAATCAGCTGTCATGAAATCATATAGTACTCCTACTTGTTAAGGTTCTTGTTCTGACAGGACCTTTTTCTTCACTTATAAAAAATGTTCCAGTGTCATCCCTGATGATCCGAAGAGTTGCAGGAAACTTAAACTTTGTGTTTTAATGGCCATTTGCAGGTTATTTCCAGTTCTGATATTGATGCTACTTGAATTTCATAGTCTTTCAACAGCACATGAAGACCCATCTTATATACAGGTGGGAGTGATTCTTGACATGGAATCATCAGTAGGGAAGGTCGTCTATCGTTGTATTATCATGGCTATCTCTGACTTTTACGCAGCCAATCCTCACTACAGAACAAGGATCGTTTTCAAGACCAGGGATACCAAAGGAGAACCACTTCGTGCCTTGTCTGCTGGTGCTTTTTTGTTCTTACTATTTTTTATTCTGTAATCGTAAAGCTTAATCTATTTTTAAATACTAATGTATTGCTCATGGACATTCAGCTCTAGATCTTTTGGAAAACACTGAATTGCAAGCGATAATTGGTCCAGAATCAATCGAAGCAAGATTCTTGGATGTTTTAGAACACAAGGCTAACATGCCAGCTCTTTCATTTTCAACTAGTCCTTTTTCAAATCATAGCCCTTATCTTCTTCAAATCGCACAAGATGAAACTACTCAGTTCAACGGCATTGCTTCGATGCTGGAATCTTATAAAACCACGAATGTGATCTTGATAGTTGTAGACACTGCAAATGGGAGAGAAATGGCTACATATATGGTTAGTGCGTTTCAAAAGAAATATATATACGTTACTTATACTATCCTAATGTCAACCTCTGCCAGCAATGAACAAGTCAGGGAAGAGCTTCGTAAGCTTCAAACTATTCAAACCATGGTGTTTATCGTGCATTTGCCGCCTTCTCTTGCGGCTTATCTCTTCTTAAGGGCAAAAGAGCTGGGCATGATGAGTGAAGGATACATGTGGATCCTAACAAGTAAGACTACCAACTTGTTGGATTCCATGGATTCCGAAGCAATCAAATCAATGCAAGGAGTTGTGGGTTTCAAATCGTATTTTCCAGCATCAAGGGAGCTTCACAACTTAGTTTCGAAATTGAGAAAGGAACATTATACTTTGAACCCTTATATCGAGTTCAAAGAGCTTGATTATAATGGTATATGGGCATATGATGCAGTTTATGCACTAGCCATGGCTGTTGAGAGGGAACAAACTTCAGAATTAGCTTCAAAAGACAACTCGAATGCTATTAATGGCGTATCACTTCTAAATCATATGTTAAGCATTACTTTCCATGGTTTAGGTGGTGAGTTCAAGCTTGTGAATGGGAGAAGCATCTCCAAAGCCATGGAAGTTGTAAATGTTATCGGTAAAGGTGATAGGAGACTCGGGTTCTTGATGACTACTGGTGAGTTTGTTAAAGAAATAGAGAAACCAAATTCCTATTCCAATCATGGCCTGGAAAGTATCATGTGGCCAGGAGGGACTACAATCCTACCAAAGCGTAGGTCGCTACAAACTAATGGCAAGAAGCTGAGAATTATGTTTCCAAGTTCGAGTAGATTCCCGAATTTAGCAAAACTGAATGTTGATCCAAGAACAAATCTATCGTCTGTCAGCGGCTTCTCTGGGGATGTTTTCACTGCAGCTTTTAACGCCTTAGGCTATGGAGTAGAGGTTGATGTTACTCCATTCAATCATAGGGATATAACTTACAGTGCTGTAATCGACAAAATCATGCGTAAGGTATGTGCCTTTTTCATGCAAAACTGTGGGATATTTTGTACAACGACATGAATTTAGCCAAAGAAGTTATCTGATGTGATGTCGGATTGTATCAGGAATATGATGCTGCGGTTGGTGATTTCACAATCACAGCAAATAGATCTATCTATGTCGACTTCACATTGCCCTTCTCTGATCTGGGAACAGCCACAGTAGCCCGAAACGCCAAGAAGAGCATGTGGATCTTCTTAGATCCTTTTAGTAATGGTCTTTGGATCACAAGTGCTTGTTTCTTTCTCTTTTTGGGGTTTGTCATTTGGTTTATCGAACATCCTACAAATGAAGAATTTCAAGGTTCACGAAGACAGCAACTAGGAACATCCCTTTGGTTTGCCTTTTCCACCCTTGTTTATGCTCACAGTAAGCTCTCAAACTCTATTCTCTAATCTCAGTTTGAAGATTTCATCTTTTTATGAATTATTTCGATCTTCATCTTTTTGAAATACATTAGAGTGTTTGAAAAATGACTTGGTAATTGGAAACTGCAGGGGAGAAGCTGCAAAATAATCTATCAAGATTTGTGTTTATTGTTTGGGTTCTCGTAGTGCTTGTGCTCACGTCAAGTTACACTGCAACGTTGAGTTCAGTTTTAACGTTACAACAAATTGGAATGAAGGATATCTCTACTGGACTCGAAGGTCTTTCGCCCCTAGGGGGAGTTGCCTTTGACAAACAGAAAGTTTTCAATGCCAATTTGTCGAAAATATATACAGCCAAGGATTACGCTAGAGTGTTAACAAGTGGAGGCGTAGATGTAGTCGTTGCTGAGATCCCCTATATCAAATCAAACCTTGCATTGTATTCGGCTGCTGACTTCTCCTTGATCAAAACAGCATCAACCACCAACGGTTTTGGCTTTGTGAGTGTTCTTTATTATAGTATAACTCTATACGTATATATAGCGTTGGTTCAACATAGAACCAAATAAAAATTGTAGAACCATACGGAAATGACAAACGTTCACAATGTATGTTCAGTTATGAAGATTCCTAATGTTCAGGAATGAACATACTTATTTTCATGTGGTTCTATTGTTCTATTAACGTTAATATTTGGTTCTATGCTGAACACTTCAGTGTGTACATATGTCATGCTTGCAACATTACATGCCTCGAGAGGACTTTGTTAGAGGCTGTAACATGTATATAGTCCGTTTCTCTCGGGTTCTTCTATATATAACTCCACATCAATCCCATTCCAAGTCTCATTTAGCTATATATAGGCGTTCCAAAAAGGTTCTACCTTGGCAAGAGAGATGTCGACTCAAATAGCGAAGATGCGCGAAGATGGCACATTGAAAGCATTCGAAGATAAATGGTTAAAGCATCAATCTGCAGTGATGTCAACAGATTTTTCTTCTCCTTCGCCAAAAATATTGGATATTTATGGGCTTAGAGGTCTCTTTCTGATCAGTGGTGTGTCGATGGTATCGGCCCTTTTGTTGTCAATGATTCATCTTGTTCGTGAAAAAATTAAGATGAAGAAATGGAAGTGCATCTTACGAAGATCTGCTGACATTCAAGTACATGATCTAAGTGATGAGGAATCAACTATCTGATTTTTTTATATGAGTGAATACAAACCATTATACGTAGCCTCTTGTTTCAACTAATAAAAAATTTGTGTCAAATATGTAGCTTTTTTTTTGTAGGGATGAGCTCAATATCAAAACAGACTGAACCGTGTAGCACCATACATCTTTGGGCAAAAAAAAAGAATTATATATCGAACTTTTTAAGGGTATACGTGTAATGGTGTCATCTCAGGCTTGCGGTACCAATCTCAGTTAGTCCCAAATTTTGTGTAGTTCGAGTTTCAAATCAAAAAGTACAAACACACTTCAATTTTCACAACATTTTTAATATGCATTGCAACATTTTCAGAATTATCGTAAACAGTACTAAAAAAGCTGAAAACAAAAATATGAAACAGTAGCACACAAATAGCAGTATGTCGCCAACAATTTCAAATAGTTACAAAAAGTGGGAAATGAAAATTACCAACAAAAAGAACAAGAAAAGTATTCGTAACACACAAAGTACTTCCATTCCAAAACAATGTCAATTCTTAAATCTCCAAAGGTGTCTTCCTAGTAGGTCAGTATTTACCTGAAAACGATCGTACTAGTGCCGCTACTATAGAAAACCAAAAATCACCCAATAATGGCGCCAAATCCCAAACCATAGGCATAATCGGTTCTAGCTCCATACCGGTACCAGTTGGGTAAATCTGGTCACTTTTTTCATCTCCTACGTTTTTGTTGTCGCAACAAGAAAAATTCTTAATAGATGCTCATAGAAATGGCTATAACACTAAACGTAGATGGCACTTAGTATTTCGATCAGTATAAAAATGAGGGAGCTCATACCCTAGAACCAACTATATTGGTTCTCCTATTTCAAACTATAATGGTCATATAGCTAGGGAGATCATACTCCTATGACTGACTAGGTCTATCATGTTAAGTCCTTAGACTTAGGATCATTATCCATTATTCATAATCATCGCCTTATTGAGATAGGTGTAATATGTTATTTCATGATTCATGTAAATTTCTATCATATGAAGACAATTTTTAAACATAGCATTTTATCTTACATCAAACCATTTAATTCCAACAATGAAATTTATCATCAATACAAAATTCAAAAACCATTGTAGATCATTTGCTAGGCATTTCATTATAAGTATTCCATTCAAAAAATTTTGTTACTACTATTTCCCATATCTAGGAAATTATCTTTCAAGAACGAAATTATACTCTATCTAGGCATGTTTCATATAATTTATCTTGTTTATATTTGTAACGACCCAAATCACCGATGATTAACGAAGTTAGTGTTCTGTTAAGTTTATTTTCTAAAACTAACTTTTTCCTTGATTTAAGTTGAGTTATGAGGGTCAAAGTGTATAATAAAATGAACCTTAAACATGTAAATGGGTCCAAGGTGCATTTTGACATAGTTTGAGGGCCAAAATTT